ATTCCTGAGGTGAATTTTTTCACCTTCACAAGCAGGGATGACTTTTAAGGTTAATCTGATGACTTATTTCATATATTTTTTTCAAAAATACATTGAGTTTGCCTTTAAATTGAGGATAGTATCCTTTATTTCATTTTAATGGCAAATATAGAAAAAAGTTTATTACACAGCAGCAAGGATTATTTCTCCACAATGTCTGAGAAGTTGCTAGTGCATCATATAAAAACAGTTATTAAAACTAAATATTGTGCCTTCTCAGCAGCTATATTTCAGACCTCATAACAAGCTTAAATTATCCTTTTTAATAATTACTGCAAGCTTTAGCACACATTTTTGAATCAAATCCCACACAATTATTAAATCTTAGAATTAAATAAAGATAATAAAAAATAGTTTCTTGGCTAACAATCTATTATCAGAAATCAGAAAAATATAAAATACTAATCCAATGTCAGCAGCAATAACAGAAAGGTCCATAACCCTTGCATCAAAATAATACAAAATTTAGTTTCATGCTTAGAAAAAAGCCCATTTTAAGCTGTAGGGCAGACATCTTAAAGCATCAAAATAGTTGCTTTAATGAAACACGAAGACCATGTCTCTCCAAAGCAATCTGAGAGGACTGAAGTATACATAAGAATGACCAGTAGATATGAATGAGATACAAGACCTTAAGATGGCCATTTAGATGAATCTTACCTTAGAGACCAAAGCTGAATTTCGTGTTTTCAAATTGTAATTCAGTTAAAAAAAGAAATACATTTCTACGTTTCATTTTCTTTTTTTTTTTTTTTCAGAATGATTCTTGTATGCCTTTATCAAACCATTACGAATTCTGTGTCTTACATTCAACTTCATCAGTTTGGACCATGCTCCCAAACAAATTTGAATTGCACACATTACCTGTTTCCTTCTTCATCAATGAAGAACATACTCCCTAAAAATGACACTGGCCTAGATGATCTGAAGCTGATATGACAAATTAATTCCTTATTTGTGCTATCTGATGAAAGAACAATATCTTGCCCTTCCGGGAACTGTACAGAAAAAGGGTAAATCCTGTCACCATCTTCAAGTTCAACCTCCGGAAGTTCAACTTGAATTTGTGATTGCCTGTGTTAAAAAAAATAGTAATGGTGTTTGTACTCAGACAATGACAGTAAGGTTGATCCACAGATTCACACATTTATGAAACTACATTTCACAGTTAAATACAGAAGAATAACTTCTGTTTTGAAGTATAAATCAAGAGAAGGTAACTAAAGATTTAAAACTCCTTTAGCATTTAGATGCTAGTTTGTTTTCTATATGTGTGTCTGAGCTTATGCTGACCCACAATAGTTCAACATCCAAACGAAGAGCAATTTCTACTAACTGCTACAAAGGATACAAATATTACTTCCTTACTTTACATTTCCTAAACTTAAAGCTTTCATTGATTAAACTGCATTATTGCACAACAATGTAAAGCAAGTTTTGAAATAGAAATATTAAGGGGAAATTTATGAAGATACTTAAGATGCTTTCCCCAGTTATGTAATTTTAGGTTCCAGTTCTGAAATAAGAACGGTAGTCAGTCCAGACCCATATCCTTTCAGTTCCAACCACTGAGTTACTGACAATAGACAAATCAACTGACAATAGACAAACCACTTGATAAATTACTACAACTCAAATGAGAGAAGATAATTATTTCTAGGTAAAGTTAATTTCATTAATTTAGGGCAACTTGAAGAGTTTTGCTCCAATTCGTCTAGTATTCAAATGATAGCTACATAAGCATATCAAACTTAAATTACTGCTCTTTACTAATTGCAGACAGAAAAGTTGTAGCTTGGAGACCAGAAAAGCATATTTCAACACACATGTACATGAGAGTGTTCAGTAAGATTTAAATTTTAAGACCTCTATCAAATTGGAACAGGTGTGGTGCTGGGTTATGTTACATAATATGAAGATTACAAAAAGGCTCTCTTATGAATTCAAGTAACAGGATAAAGTGGGTGATCCACAAAGAAAATGAAAAATATATAGATTACTTATCATATTAAGTGACATCATTAAAACATTCGTGCTGTCCCCTTTGACACTAAAATCTTGCTTAAGAAGGAAATAAAAACCCAACAACAACAAAAACCCAATAAAACCACAACAAAAAAACCCAACCAAACCACAACCCCAACAGCAGCTAGATTTCAAAACAGTGCTTTATAACCTGTGGAACAAAGAAAATAAAACAACAGAAAGATTTTATCTGATCACAATGCAAAAAAAATGTAAGACTACAATCTAGTATCTGGCTCAAATTAACAAAATCCTGGCAGTAATCTCTTTAATTTTTGTGCTACTCAGAGTAATTTTCAAAGCATTTGACAGAGTGAATATATCAGAAGATGGTCACTTAATGAAGCATTTTTTTCAGGAATGTTTTGAGGACAGAACACAGGCTTGCTGAATGTACAGCAATATTTATTACACAAATTTTCTCCTAAATATGCAGACTATTTCCTCTGCTGAGCAGAAAATTAATGCTAAATTTCACAAACAAAAATTAATTCACTTTTTCACAAGAGAACAAAACCAAGAATTATTCAGGATTTCTGTAATAAATTTAGTTTGAGATTTTTACCTTAAGTAATCTTGTGGAATAATATTGATGGCTGTTTCAGTTTTCACATCCAGAGGAACTGGCATCAGCATTAAAAAGGGAGGATCAAAATTCAGTTTTGGTGACTTCACAGTGCCAGACAATGTTATTTTGTAATGTGATGGATTATCATTTAGATAAACAGACATTTCAGATGTGTATGTCCCAGGACAAGCTGTTAAAAAGGTAAAGAAAAACAAACAAAAAAACCACTCATAAAATTATATTACCATAAATATATGCAACTAAAAGAGTTATAGCAAGAGGTTTGGGTTGGTTTTTTTTGTTTTTTGTTTTTTGTTTTTTTTTAAAGTCACATGTATTGCTGTCTTACTCAAAATCTAGCTTAACATACTGGAAGTGTGGTATCAGAATTACACTATCAAAATGGTGTTCCAAACAATGCAGTGCCATTTACCAAATTTTCAGTCATTCCCACCTGATGAAGAACTAGAAAATAAACAATTTTGAGGGCCGTCCAATGACCACCTCTTGTATTTAGAAACAAACTGCACAAGGTGTTGTCAGACAACCCAAAAAGTTTAATCTTTTCATTTTCAAGAAAAACACCTTTCCCTCTGATTCCCCTCTGTCATCAGATTAGTACGTATGGAAACATCCTCACCTAATATTTAAGAAGGAAAGAGAGAGCAAAAGAATTTTGCATTCTATGTGTCTGTATGAGCACATATGTGTCACTGCAAACAAAATACACGTTACAAACCCTTCTGAGATTACCTCAGGTAATTATTTTCACACACTGAGAAAGAGTTGACATTGTTTACGTACACAAAGAAGAAAACCTAGTGTCTTCAAAATATTTTATCTTATTCCCTCCTCCTAACAGCCAATTTCTTCACGGAGATTGTAATATCGTAACTTCACAGAAGCCTGTTGGCTCATCAGAACATGGCCTGAAGATCCTTTTATTTCAGACCAGAAAACATGAAACTGGCAAAGTGAAAACCAGATGAAATGGGAACTAGCTGCAGTGTTTGCAATATTTGGCTGGCTCTCTGATGAACAGAAAACAACTTTAGGAGACAACACAGCTGAGAAGGCTAAGAAACTTGTGCTCAAGAACACACCTTTTTCTGGCACTTAGTCCTTTTATGAGGGAAAGGTGAGACAGCATCAAAAAAGGTCATGCAGATGTATGAAGAGCCAAAAAGGATATTTTTCACATGCTTGTAAGAAAAGAAGTTCTATACAAGTTACTCCCATATATAAGCTAGACAGTCTACTATCCTACAACTGTGCTCTAACTAAAGCATATTTTTTTTTTCCTATGTAACATATGTAACATATGTAACATAACATATGTATATAGTAAAGGAAAGTAAAAGGTCATAACCAAGGAATGCCATAGTGATGGATCACCATGAAGGAAGAAAACTAGAAGAGTATATGTCAGTCCCAAAGAATACGCAATTTTCACTAATTCACATTTTAAAATATGCGTATTAACAATAGTTCCAAAGCTAAACCTTCAAAAGTTCGGAAAGAACAGTGTTAAGCTCTTCTTATAAAAACTTTTCATCCATACTATATGTAACAATTCTAACAAATCCATTGACTACCTGATCACAACATTCATTTGCCATAGAATCCCTGACTCACTCAGAAGGTAGAACATAGCGCTTAATCTGCACTGCTGATCATTCTGTGTGTGGCTCCACACATTTACTAACATCAAAATTCCACATAACATGTTAAGTCAATAATTCATTGCTTATGTCAGAAATACCAGGATGTTGTAATACTGTCCTCATTTTAAACAGACACAAAGACAAAAAAAGTTTTGTTCACTAGTTCATAATGCCTAGGACCCATGTTTTCAGGATATTTCATGTAAAATAAATTAATTTGAAATTAATGAGAATTATGTCCTGAACTAACAGCTGAAGTGAAAAATTTATTCTATTAATCACACTTTTTATGACTACTGTCAAAGCTTGTGCTACTGCTACCATTCTGATAAACCACCATTAATTTCTATAGGGCAAACAACAAGCAGTCCAGCAAATGTGAAAATTTTCCTTAGGGAGATTTGACAGTATTTACAAACCTGCCAATCTAGATTTGCCAAGGGCTAACAAAATCTGTAGAATTATATAAAAAATTTCCCCTTTGTCTTTTCTAGATATTAGGGGAAATAAGCATTAATTCCCTTACCTTCAAAAATCTCTGAGTGAAAGAACACAACTTTTCAAAGTACATATGTGCATATATTCATTAGCTGCCTTATTTTCAGTCTAATTTGCACTAGAAAGCCCATCCAGTTCAGAATGCCCAGCTCCCTAGCATGCTATCCTGGGACATCCTATCCTGCTATCCTTTATGAAGGCTCCTTGTTAATAGAAACATAAACACATTATATTTCTGCTGAAAGTCACTTACACATATATGCAAGTTCTTCTCCCAGTGCTGCTCACACACTTCTGGAGGAGAAATATTTCAAGTCCCCACATCTTCTATTGTACCTTTTTCAGTCGCAATTTAAACTAGGAGCAAAAGCTAGTTTAAATGGCCACCTGTTTAAGGACATCTGTATTCCTTATTCCTCTCTAGCAACACAAATCTAATTTTCAATTTTTTTTTCCCCCCCAGAAATCTTAACTGTGTAATAGCATGGGCTTTTGATCTTTTCAGAGTGTGTGAGAAGAAAATAAAATCACCATCTGCTCTCCTCACCCTCTTAAGTTTATATTAGACTGTTATTCAGTTCCTACACTTATCTCCCAATTAAACATTTTTAGTTCAGTTGCCTTGGACTTTCTGATAATTCATGCCTTATTGCATATGTACATCTTCATCATAAATGGGTGCCAATGAAGAACTTGCATACACTGAAATACAGACTTCAAAGCAGAAGTGTCACAGGTAGTTAAAAATTAAAAGGTAAGCCCTACAAAAAAATGAAGAAAAAGGAATAATCAAAAGTACACTAATAATTTCTCCACAGAAACTGTTAAAGGGCACAGTTATTTAATATCCTACTGTTGCAGGAAAAAAAACCACACACTAGAAGATGGAGGTCATTATGGTCATCTGTGCCCATTACATAACCACCACATCTTCCCAGGGCACTTGAAATCCTGTTAACTCACTGGTGCATTTGTATTTTTCTACATGGGATTCCAGAGCATAGATTTATTTTAACTTACTATGCTCCAGACAAGTTTTTTCATATCACAGTAAGAAATAGTGAAATTTTTCATATACTGTTAATGCATTATCCTACAGTACAACAGAAAAGGATCATTAATATACTAATGATTACTACACTGATGACTAGTATATTAATATACTTTCAGTTCTTGAGAATCTCTATTAAACTTAGGATACTTTTTTTAAAAAAGTAACATCATCTTACTATGCATTATATAAACTCTTGCATTTAACTTAACACTGTAGCTTACTACAGCATTTTGCACTCTCATTATTATAAATATTGTGGCATATTTAAACAAATTACTCTAACACACACTCAAAGTTCATTTTACGGTTGGTTCACCCCCACATACAATAACTTTATCATACAAACCTATGAAAATGATTAGCACACCGTACTCATTAACCAGGTCTCTTGAGGGGGTTTTGACGTATCTAATATTCTATTATTAAAAAGAGTAATTATATTCAGTGAAGGTATAGCACAGGTAGGCTATAAATCATGGGAAAATAGAACATTGAATTAAAAGCAATTGATTTTTACAGTTATTTATGATTTTCTGTAAATAAAAGATATGGAACATAGCAAAAATACAAATAACTTCAAATGGCAATTATTTATAAGTCATATTTATGTATATATACATCTACATTTACACATAAAATTTATTCAGTAAATCAAAATATTGGCTTTTATTTCTATGCTGTTCTCTGCTTCATAGTCCTTACAACATACAAGCATTTTAATACACCTTCTCATGATGTTCTTACCTAAATAGAACAACCATCATACAGATGGTCATTTCACTTATTCATTATCATATGATCCTCCTCTAGCTGCTGCATGAAACAGTATTAGAATTTTTTTTAAATTAAAAATTTCAAAATTTTTAGAATTAGATTTTTTTTTACATTTCATGTGTCTTAAATGCCAGAGTGATACATAGAAGAAGGAGAAAAAGAGACCCTGTGCTCATCCGGGCCTTAAAAATCACCAGATATCTGGAAACACACATTTATTCTTCTTTCTTCAAGTTTAATATTGCTCTGAGCAATTTTATTTTCCAAGCTAGATAACTTAACCTAATGAATGTAAAATGCAGTTGATATAACTCCTATTACAAGAATACATTTTTCAAATTCAAAGCAGACAAAAATTTTCGTATGTGTTCTTCACAAGTTATTATTTTAGTATGAACCACAATTATTCTAACCATAGACACAGTCTGCAAAAATATCTATTAGAATACCTTCTCAAAGTTACAACACTTATTTCGTAGGCTTTATTATCTGAAATACTGCAGAAAAAAAATTATACCCTATTGAAAGCAAGGTAGAAACTTATGAAAGGAGAAAAAAATGTTTATAAGAAAAAGAGTTAACAATAAACTACATGTGTATTTTTTAATTGCATCTCCAGGAACAACAAGTTTACAAGTGTTTGTTTTTCACTTTCCAACCTTCTGTATTTCCATTCCTCTTTCCTCTACACTCTTACTCCAAAGACCTGGGGTCATAATATGTTTCTGTTCCTTGACTTCTTTAACCTATTTTTCTTCTGAGTTGCATCTCAAAATTCAGAAGTTTACCCAAAGCCTTTCTTCTGTCTAGACACAGTCTCTAGACTCTCCAGATTAGATCCTTACATCCTTCATAATAAACCAAGATTCCAAGTCCATGTTTCTAAAACTTTGTAAAACTGAACATCTGAAAAAGATAACTTGCAGAGAGATATCATAGGAAAAAATATCCGAGGTTTGTCCAATCTTCTTGTCATCCTGCTTCCACTGTTTAGCTCCTGATTTTTATATTCTAACATTTTCTCACACCCTGGGATAATATTTTCATTCAATTCACCCAGTATCCTTGGATTTTTTTATTTCATATTGCTCCCAAAACAAATTATTTAACAAAAAAATTTCATCTCTGTTTATTTTATTTTGATAACCTACATAAGTTATCACTAAAAACTTATTGAGGACCTGCATAAGTAAGATGAAA